GGCTGGCATCCACACAGTAGGTGCTCAGGATGTCCTCCAGCTGCCGGCTCAGCTCCTCAGAGACGTCGCGGGAGGATTTGGGATCCTCCTGAGTCAGAGGAGCTGGGGAGGGAAAAAGGGAACACAAAAAAGAATTGATGAAATGAGGGTCTCCTCCAGCCAGGTTTTGTAAGCTCTTGGAGGTTTATTTCACACCCAAGATAGCTCAGCTGCCTTAGAAGGCATCAAATCAGCAGGATGGCTTCTGTGGCAGTGTTGGAAACAGAAAGGTTTTAATAAAAGGCAAAACAACAAAACTCTTTACAGAGAAAAACCGAGCTGGGTGCAAGAGGTTCTTGCTGCTGGTAAAACACCTCACAAAAGCAATTAGTTTCTTTGTTCTCTTCTTTTTCTAGTAAACTGCTTAGGTGGGACTTTTTGGCTCCTGTCCAATTTGGTATCCTTAAGTTTGGGGTGAAGCCCCCCAGGTCCTATGAGGTGTCTTTTCACCTAATTAAAGAGAGAAACTTCTGAGCTTATTTCCTTTTTAAGGGGACAAAAGACAGTTTTGTCACTCCATCAACAGGGGGCACATTCCTATAAATTGAGGCTTTCCCTGCCTCCTCTCACCCTGCAGGGAATGGGAGCATTTTCCTGCTTTGTTCCATTGTCAGGGCATTCCCAACAGCCCCTCCTTTGACAGCAGAGCATGACCAAGCCCCTGACATCTGTCAAGAGGGAGAATTCCCCCCTCTCTTTTTTTTTTTTTTTTTTAAGGAAAGCAGGTTGTGTGTGAGATTTTTTTCCCCCCCAGAGGAATTGGCAGCTCCAGGGCTGGGTTTTTTAGCATAAAAACGGATTTGAAACCTGGGTAAGAGCAGCTGGCATCAAACGGGGATGGAGCAGGCAGAACATCCTGGCAGCAGGCAGGAGGGGGAACTCCTCCAGGACTGCACACACAGGAACAGGGAAAAAAACAGGATTTTCTGCCTGGAAAACCAGGATTTGCTTCTCAGGAAATCCAGGATTTTCTGCCCTGAAAACCCAGGATTTTCTGCCTGGAAAACCAGGATTTTCTTCTCAGGAAATCCAGGATTTTCTACCCTGGAAACCCAGGATTTTTTGCCTGGAAAACCAGGATTTTCTGCCCTGGAAACCCAGGATTTTCTGCCCAGGAAAACCAGGATTTTCTGCCCTGGAAAAACCAAGGATTTTTTGCCTGAAAAACCAGGATTTTCTGCCCAGGAAAATCAGAATTTTCTGCTGGAAAACCAGGATTTTCTGCCCAGGAAAACCAGGATTTTCTTCTCAGGAAACCCAGGATTTTCTGCCTTGGAAAACCAGGATTTTCTGCCCAGGAAAACCAGGATTTTCTGCCCTGGAAAAACCAAGGATTTTTTGCCTGAAAAACCAGGATTTTCTGGCCTGGAAACCAAGGATTTTTTGCCTGGAAAACCAGGATTTTCTGCCCAGGAAACCAAGGATTTTTTGCCCTGAAAACCCAGGATTTTCTGTCCCTCCAAAGAGCTGCAATAAAAGCAGCTCCCTGGCTCTCCCCAGGCTCCGAGCTGCCCTCACACACCCCAGGGGATGCCAGCAGTGCCCCCAGCCGTGGGCAGGGACAGAACCCCCCAGCCCCCAGGGGTCCCCCACCTTCTGGGGGAGCTGCAGCCTCTGGTGAGTCTCCCTCTTCCAGCCCCATCCCGCTGCTCGTTCTGGAAGGACGTGGAGCTGCTTTGGTCTCCACTCCCTGGTTCTTCATCACAGCCTCTGCACCCTCTCAGGCCCTGCAGAGACAGAAGGGAGAGGCTTTGAGGACATCTGCAGGATTTTAGGAGTCATCAGCCCTGGCTGGCCAGGAAGGAGCCTGTTCTCAGCAGAAGCTCAGTGCTGAGGAAAGCATCTCTCGATTCCCAGTTTGTGTCAGGATAATTCCTGTTGGAATGTCCCTCTGGAGCAAGGCAGCACCTCCCAGCCCACAGATAAAGAGAATTTCCCCACTGGGCACAACCCCCTCAGCCCTCTGTGCCCTTCCCAACTCTGGGACTTCACAGCTGACCCAGAAATCAGAGCCTGCACAGCACAGAGCTCAATTCCTGCTGAATTCCCTGGCCAAGGAGAGCCTGAAATCCCAGCTCCTCATCCTCATCCTCATCCCCTGAGGGGTCTGGATGCTCTCATCCTTCCCATTATCACCCTAACCAGGAGCTGGCAGCGCAGCTCCCGCTGGTCCCGAGGGAAAGAAGGCTCCCCGGTGACACCGGGACCGGCCGTGCCGGGGCTGCTGGAAGGATAAACCCGCGGGCGGAGCGGCGGCAGAGCCCGGTCCCCGTGTCACCGGCCAGCCCCCGTGTCACCGGCCGGCCCCGTGTCACCGGCCGGCCCCGTGTCACTGCCCGGCTCCGTGTCACTGCCCGGCCCGTGTCACCGCCCGGTCCCCGTGTCACCGCCCGGCCCCGGTCACCGCCCGGTCCCCGTGTCACCGGCCAGCCCCGTGTCACCGGCCGGCCCCCGTGTCACCGCCCGGCCCCGTGTCACCGCCCGGCCCGTGTCACCGCCCGGTCCCCGTGTCACCGCCCACGTGCGGGGCGTCCGGGCAGCGCCCTGCACCGGCACCTGCCCCGCGCCTCGGGCGCTCCTTTTCCGCTGCTGCACCCGCGCAGCTCCGGGGCCAGAACCGGGAGGCATGGGGGCGAGAACCGGGAGGCGATAACCGGGGTTTAGGAGCGATAAACCTGGGAACGGGGCGATAACCGTGGCACGGGGGAGCCCCGGCCTCGCAGCACCGGCAGCCCCCGGCCCACCGCTCCCTCAGCCCCGCTGCCCCGGCCCCGTCCCCGCGGGACGCGGCCCCCCCAGCGTTAAATTGGCCCCGCGCTCCCCCTCCCCGCACCGCCGTGACGTCACGCGCGCACCCCGTGACGTCAGCGCCGGCGGTCTGACGCAGGTGTCGCCTCGTTCCTCAGCCAACGGGCGCGCGGGGCCCGGCGGGGGCCCGGCGAACCGGCGGGGCGCTGGGTGCGGGTGCCCTGCCGGTGCCGGTGCAGCGGCGGTTGCGGCGGTTCTGGCGGTACCGGCGCTGAGGGAGCGGCTCGGCCCGGGGCCTCCAACGGCCGCGCGTGCGCCCGCCCGCGCCGCCGCCCAATCAGCGCCCGCCGCGCGGGGGCTGCCGGGAAGCACCGGGGAGACGCGGCAAGCGCGGCGGGAGGCGCTGAGGGGACTACAGCTCCCGGCATGCTCCGCGAGAGAGCGGCCAGGGGAACTACAGCTCCCGGCATGCTCAGCGCGGGGGCCGCCACAGGAACTACAGCTCCCGGCCTGCTCCGTAGGGCTGGAAGGAGAGGATGAGGAAGAGGAGGAGGAAGAAGGGAAGGGGGAAGGAAACTGTATCCTACAACTACCGCCATGCCCCGCGGTTGGGGAAGAAGAGGATGAGGAAGAGGAGGAGGAAGAAGGGAAGGGGGAAGGAAACTGTATCCTACAACTACCGCCATGCCCCGCGGTTGGGGAAGAAGAGGATGAGGAAGAAGAGGAACTATGGCCTACAACTCCCGGCAAGCCTGGCGGATGGCTGCCCTGGGGACAATTCCCGCCCTGCTCCTCTGGAGGAAAAAGCAGATGAGGAGGAAGAAGAGGAGGAAGAAGGGAAGGGGGGGGAAAAAAAAGCCAAAAAAAAACCCCCCAAACACCTGCGGCCTACATTTCCCAGCATGCCCTGCGCCTGGCCGGCCTGGAGAGCTCCGTAGGGCTGGAAGGAGAGGATGAGGAAGAGGAGGAGGAAGAAGGGAAGGGGGAAGGAAACTGTATCCTACAACTACCGCCATGCCCCGCGGTTGGGGAAGAAGAGGATGAGAAAGAGGAACTATGGCCTACAACTCCCGGCAAGCCTGGCGGATGGCTGCCCTGGGGACAATTCCCGCCCTGCTCCTCTGGAGGAAAAAGCAGATGAGGAGGAAGAGGAGGAGGAAGAAGGGAAGGGGGGGGAAAAAAAAAAAAAACACCAAAAAAACCCCCCAAAACACCTGCGGCCTACATTTCCCAACATGCCCTGCGCCTGGCCGGCCTGGAGCCTACAACTCCCAGCACGCCCCGCGCGCCGCCGCCGTTACCGGGCACCGGGGGCCCCTCCCAAGGTCACCGAGCCCCCATCCCCGGTACCCCCATCACAGCACAGCCGGACACCTGCACAGCTGGAGTTTATTCGTTCCACAACAAGGGCTCGGCTCCCCCCTAACCCAGCACCTCTGCTTTGACTGAAATCGGGACAAATCGGCCCAAAAAACGCCGCGGGGGCTCGGGGAGCTCCGTGCTCACCGCAGGACAGCCCCGAGCCCCGGGGGGTTCCAGGTGTGCCTGCCTCACAGTGCTTATTTACAGCAATTTCATACAGAGTTTTCTCTGTGGCCCAATTAGACAAATATCTCCCTTTCTATAATATAAAAAATACAGAGATTTGTCGTTTTTGGAAGTAAAATGTGCATTATCTGACTGTGAGCAGGAGGTAAACCTGAAAACCTGGTGCTGTTGGAGCTCCTGTCACTGCTGGCAGGTGGAGCCAAATGTTCCTCCACCCCAAACCACCCCAAGGGAGGAAAAACCCAGAATTCAGCCCATGTTTCTCATGGCAAATAAAGTATTTCAAGTAAAGATGAAGGTGGGATTCAGCATTTCAGAGCTCTGAGATCAGTCAGTACAACGCAAACCAAACCTGTGCAACAGCAGCTGTGCTTCCTGCTCCAAAAAAATCCACCCCAGTTCCCATCTTTGGGCTCTTGTTGCTTTTTTTTTTTGTTTTGTTTTTAATCCTTGGAAATACCACTAGGATGAGGTCCAAAAAACAAACAAAAAACAAACAAAAAAAAATCTAGACAAAGGGAAGCAGCAGAAAAAAAAAAAAAACCAAAACTTCCCATCAGTGAGAGAACTTCTCATTTTTCTGTCCATTTTCAGTATTTTTCATCAGGGAACTGGTCTTGGCTTCACCAGGACTGTCCACCTGAAGGAGGAAGGCCAGGGCTAAATTTTGCTCTTGGCATATTAAAGAGTCTTTAATAAAGAGTAACATGTGCAAAAACAAAAAAAAAGAAAACAAAAAAAAAAAGAAAAAAAAAAGGAAATTTAAATAGATCAAGCCAGGTTTTGCAGAATTACTGTGGCCAGAACAGCTCCCTCCTCTCCGTGTCCTCACCCAACCCAAGGCTGGAGTACCCGAGGTAAAAACTGCACTGGGGAAGACACCACCACAAAGAAGAAGCCACCAAGAGGTGCCACCTGTCACCTCTGTGTCCTTCCTGCCTCCAAAGCCAAGGTGAGCAGCAGCCCAAAGGATCAAGGAGCAGAAATTCCCCTTCTCTCCGGCAGCACCGGCCGCTCGCGGTGTTCGTAGAGTTTTCCCAAACAGGAGCACTGAGTGTCCAACCTTCCCAGCCAGGACCAGCAGCTGCTCTCCCAAACTTTCCAGAAAGTTTGTGGTGGGGTTTTTGTTGTTTTTTTTCCCAGGATTATAGCTGGAATCCTTCCATGGGAGCCTCGGGTTGCTGGAAGATGTATTGCTGCTGGTTCTCGTCCACCTGCGGGGCCACGGCGGCGTCGTCCTCCACCCCAAAGTAGTGCTCAATCAAATCAAAGGCTTTCTGGTAGATCTCCTGGTTCTCGTGGCTCTGGAGGAATTCTATTTTGTCCAAACCTTTAGAGGAAAACAAAACAAAAAAAAAATTAAAAAAATAAAGTGGAATGAGATGGAACTAAGAAATTCTGAGATGGAACAAAGAAATTCGCTCTCTGTCGTCCAAGGAATTCTGTGATAAATCCACAGCTGTGCCAAAGCTGGCCCTGGCTCAGAACCCATTCCTCTGGCTGCCCTGCATGACTTGAGACCCTGGCACGGAGTCAAAAACAGCTGTGCCTTTGATTTTAGCCCATGGAACAAACTACCAGCTTTGTGTGAAGATGTACAAGCCACAAGAGTTTGAGTAGAATGATGGTTAATTTGTCACAGGGTGAAAAAGTAGAATTTTGGGGTTTTAGAATGGGGGTTCAAGAGGCAAGATGGAAGAATCTGGGTGTGTCCTGTCCTCCTTCTTCTTGCCTTCCATCTTCTGTGTGATGGTGACACTTTTGGATTGGTTTACAGTAGAGACAGACTGTCTAACATAGGTGAGAGGTATTGGAAAATTATTGTAAATCAAATAGTTCTTTGTATAAAAGCTAACACCAGCCCAAGGGTGGACAGTGTGCCACAAACTGACCTGCCAGACAGACCTCAGCAGGTCAGAGAAAGAATGTAAGAGATAAGAGAAAAATAAACAACCTTGAAAAGCAGAACCAACTCGACTTCTTTGGTTGTGGAGCTGGGAAAAAGAGACTTTCTAACACCCTGGGGTCATCTCGACCTCAGAAACCTGAGACCCCTGGATCTCAGCCCTGCCAGGCAGGTTTAGCTCATCCAGATGTGCTCCCAGCTGCAGGCTAATCCCAGACTGCAGTGGGATTAAGGAGGAGGGGTTTGGTGGCTGCAGGGGGTGGGGAGGAGCAGGGGCTGTCCCCTGAGCCTGCAGCTCTCCCTGCCCCAGTTCAATGCACAGAAAGCATCCATGCACAGTGCACCCTCAGGAATTCCAGGAATTATCCTTCCAGGGAGAATCAGGACACTCAGAGTAATGAGAGGGCAAAGCAGACACTGCCAGCTCACAGGGAGCTGCAGACCAAAATAGGAACTTGTTCCTCCTCAAAGCATCGAGAGCAGGACCAAAAAAAATACATCCATCAGCACCAAATTAAGTCACTCCAGGGAAAAGTAAAGTCTCCCTGGATTTCCAGTGTAAAACTGGGTAGATTCAGAGCAATTTTAGACCAAGAATTGTCACTTTTTACTTAGCTCAGCTCATTTCTGGTTCATATTCCCACCTGGTGCAAGCCACGATTTTCAGCTTGGACTCCAGGTCAGAGTTTTTACTTCCAAGTATTTTTTCATCACCCACTAAATGAGTTTGAAAGTATTTTGGAATAAATATTGGCTATTTTGGAATACAATAAACCCTTCAACAGAGCAGAAAAGCAACCAAGAGACCCCTGCAGTGCCCAAAGCCCCACCTACCATAGGCCTCCTCAATCAGGTTGCAGTAGGGGTTGATGCCAGTCCCACTCTGGTTGGCTTCCTGCTCTCCCAGCCTCAGGATGTTTTCCAGCCCGTTCAAGGCCACCAGAACAATCTTGGAGTCCATGACAGTCAGCAGGTCACACAGAGGTTTGATGCAACCCAAATTCACCAAGTACCTGCAGGGAGAGAGCAGCACCAACATCACTGCCTGCTCAGGAGCTGGGGAGCATCACCTCTGCTCCATGGGAAAGCAAAGGACATGAGTGCAACTAAAATCCAGAAACTGACCTTAAAATACACATTTACTGCTCTGTAAGGTTAATTTTGATCCATTTATTTGCATTGCATGCAATCCTATTTTCAGAATTTCTTTTTTAAATGGAAGGAGACACCTCTGAAATCCAGGTGCTGCTCAAATTGAGTCCACACTGGAATTTTATCTGTCATTAAGTGTGGACATTTAGCCTCAACTACCCAAAGCCTCAACTACCTAAACTACCCAACTACCACTTCTGACATCCAGGTGCTGCTCAAATTGAGTCCACACTGGAATTTTATCTGTCATCAAATTTGGACATTTAACCTCAACTTCCCAAGGAAGGATGGAGAAAATTTGGGATTAAATTATCCTCATGCAGAAGGAAATCACAAATTACAACCCAGCTCTGCCTCAGTTACTCTCCAGAATCTCTTCTTTGCCTGGAAATTCCCCTGAAGGCAAAGCTCCCAGGAACTGAGGCAGGAGTGGCCCAGGAGGCTCAGGGAATACCTGATCTGCTCAGGGGTCCCTCCTGAGGTGGCGTTGGTGATGGCCCAGGCTGCCTCTTTCCTCGTGCGGAATTCCGCTTTCTGCAGGATTTCGATCAGCACCGGGAAGATGTTGGCATCTATCACTGCCTGGGAAGAGAGGGCAGGAGAGGGCTTGGCATTGGCAGCACTTCCCTAAAGGCTTCCTGAAAGAAAGCCCCACTTCCAGATCCCCACGTGAAGAACTTCCCATGATGAAGGGATTGCTGTGGTTTATTCCCCAAATCCTGTTAAAAGCAGGTATTCCAGAACCAGCACAGCAGACAAGCCCTGGAATTGCAGCAACACTGGGGGAATGCTCAAAGCTCTGCTCTGCTCGTGGAGGTCAGGAAAAGGGTAATTAAACCTCAAGGAGCTCCAGCTCTTCCAAGGGATTGAGGATGGAGAAACAGGGGCAGTGCCTGCTCTAATTCCAATGATCCAGCCTGTGGGGTCAGTCCATGTGCTGCTGCATTCCCCATTTTTTAGCTTGTTTGGCAGCAGCAAATTTGCAAATTGCTGCAGAATAAGAGAAGTGAACCAATCCAGCCTCTAAGGGTCAGGGAAAGGAAAAAGCTGCCAATCCTCAATGCTGAGCTTGGAATCTGGGATCACTGCAGGCAGGCTGGGGAAGACTGTACCTGGATTTGTGCTCTGTTGCCTGCTGTGATGTTGGATATGGTCCAGCATGCCTCTTTCCTGATGGATTCCTTGGGACTGCTCAATAAATGGAGGAGGCAAGGCAGGGCTGAGCAGTTTAGAATCACCTTTGGGGGAAAAGGAAGCACAAGTGAGATCACCAGTGCCAGGCACTGCATTCCCTGCAGGAAATTCCTCTCCTCTCACCTGGGTCTGGATGTCATCCCCTGTCACGATGTTGCCAACTGCCCGAAGAGCTGGAGAGGCCACTTTGTAATCGTTGTGCCTGCAGGAAAAGTGTGCAAAGACAAACCCAGCTCCATCAGATCACTGGGATGTTCAGCATGTTCCCTCCCCATGATCCCATCTGCATGATTTCCTTAGGATTCCATCCCCTGCCATACAGAACAGCATCAAGCCACTGAAAACAAAGCTGCAACACAGTTATCACTGGGATGTTCAGCATGTTCCCTCCCCATGATCCCATCTGCATGATTTCCTTAGGATTCCATCCCCTGCCATACAGAACACAGAGTAAGCTGAGCATCAAACGACTGAAAACAAAGCTGCAACACAATGTGATCCTTTGCATCCTGACTCCATCCCCTTCTCCATACAAATTTTGGAGAAACAAAGCCAAGCTGATTTCTCTAGCCACTGTTTTTGGATTTGCCTCATAACCAGGCTTCCATCTGAAGTTTGAGAGCACACAACACTGCAATCATTAAGGAAATCTGGGAAGGAGAAAGTTCTTCCCAGTTGTCTGTGCAGCTGGGCCATGCTCAAAAATTGGTTGAATTTCAGAAATTTATAGGGATAATGTTTCTTTTATCAGTGAATTTGCAATTTTGGGGGCAGATGTTGAGACCAACACAAGTATCTTTTCATAGAACTGGAAAATCTTCAGCTCAGGAAGCCAAGCCAGCTGTGAAGCTGCTCCAGACCCTCCTGGGCCAGCTCAGCTGCCTGGATCCCGTGTGCACGGGAGCTTTGGTGGGACTTGGTTGGATTTAGATGGATTGCCACTCAGCCTCCTGACAGATACTCACATTAAGAGCTCCACCAGCCTCCTGCACACCCCTGAGTCCACCACAGCCTGGATCTTCTCGTTGGGACCATCGGACAGGTAGGACAGAGCCCAGCACGCGTCTGCCAGCAGGTCAGAGTCACTGTTGAACAACAATCGGGACAACACTGGCAGGCAGGGAGACACCTGCAACAACAGCCACCACCCAGGGTTAGTCACCAGGCCAGGACCACCACAGCTGCAGGCAAACACCTCCTGCTCCTGCTGACTGCTCAGGACAAGCCCTGCACTGCCACAGATCCCTTCTTCCCACAGCTCCCAAGCCACCTCAGCAGCTTGGCTGCTATATTTAAATTACACTGAGGAGTTAAATTATACTGAGGAGTTACCCTGGGAGCTCCTGTTAAAGAGCTCTGCTCCATTTCTGACTTTCAATGTTCAGACCAAGTTCATCTCAATTATTTATAAGTGGGTTTATATTTACACTCAATTCAGATTTCACCCCTTACCACAGGCCTCCCAGCTTTGATATTTAGTGGGTTTTCACTTAAAGCAGCATGTTTTCACTTTTTAAAAAAGATTTTTGTGTTGCCAAAGGAGGATGAGATACCTGAAGAGCCAGCAGGACCTTTAGTTAGGTTCCCTAGACAGGGGAAGGCAAGATACCACAGCTCACAGGAATTCTGGTTTTTAGCATTTCCAGGTCTCAGAATAGCTGTTGATCGTAATTGAAGTCTCAAAATTCCAGAGTTCTTAAGAAAATTGTTTATAGAAACTTTCTAGGGAAGCCTGGGCCTGCCCATCATTTGAGGGGTGCAGCAGAAAGGTTGGGAGAAATTAAACATGCAGATCACCCTCAGGAGGAAAAACCTCATCCTGTGTCCTCCTCGAGTTCAACAGCCCAAAATAACTCAGACAAGCCTCTTAACTGGGTGTCTCCCCACCTCCTGGCTGCCAACAGGGCATTTCTTCTCACCTTATCAAATTCAGGAGGTGGACTCTTCCCTCTGCACAGGTTTGACAAGGCCCAGACAGCATTTCGTGTCATTGTCAGCCTGGTGGACGTGGTGAGGAGCCTGAACAGAGAATTACCAGGGATTATTGTCCTTGATGTGGAAGCAGAGGGAACCAAAAGAATTAAAACTAAAACATTTAGCTCCTGTTCAGCCCAGGAAGACACTCCCAGTCACCACCAAGTGACACAAACTGCTCAGCCTGAGCTCAGAGCGAGTCCAGTGGGGTGAGGAGTCAGGCTGACACCAGGAGCAGCAAAATCTGCCATTTGGGACAAAAACCTCACTTTTCCAGGGTGGGATGAAGATTAATTCTTGCCAGAGCAACGAGAGCCCAGGCCTGACAGAACTCATTATCAACACACTGAGGGAGGTGGTGTGAGAGACCTGATCCTGCTCCAACCCCAAAAAAATCCACAGCCCAAGCAGAGAGCAGGAGCTGAGGGACACCCTGTGACTCCAGAAGGAGCAGCACCCCAGAGCAGCACGGAGGAGTTTTAGCCACAGAATCCCACCCCTCTGAGGCAGAGGTTTGATTCCCAGGAATCCCAGAGTGACAAGCAATCTGTAAGGAATGTTATCCACAAAATCCCACTCAGAACCAGAGGTTTGACTCCCAGGGAATTTAGAAGGAATGTTATCCCCAAAATCCCACTCCTCTGAGGCAGGTGATTCCCAGGGATCTCACAGTGCCAGGGACTCTGTAAGGAATGTTCTCCACAAAATCCCACGCAGAACCAGAGGTTTGACTCCCAGGGAATTTAGAAGGAATGTTATCCATAGAATCCCACTGAGAACCAGAGGTTTCAGTCCCAGAGATCCCACAGTGCCAGGGAATCTGTAAGGAATGTTCTCCACAGATTCCCACTCCTCTGAACCAGGTATGACTCCCAGAGATCCCAGCACTGCCAGGGATCTGTAAGGAATGTTATCCATAGAATCCCACTGAGAACCAGAGGTTTCAGTCCCAGAGATCCCACAGTGCCAGGGAATCTGTAAGGAATGTTATCCCCAAAATCCCACTGCTCTGAGGCAGCTTTGATTCCCAGGGATCTCACAGTGCCAGGGACTCTGTAAGGAATGTTATCCACAAAATCCCACTCAGAACCAGAGGTTTAGACTCCCGGGGATCCCAGAGTGCCAGGGAATCTGTAAGGAATGTTCTCCACAGATTCCCACTCCTCTGAAGCAGGTTGGATCCCCAGGCAATCCGTGGCCCAGCTCCAGCCCTGCTCCCTGGTACAAGGGCACTCCCAGAACTGCTCATGGCTACTCACATTAACAAGGGAGGAAGAATGGCACAGTTCAGGACATAATCCCTACACACAGAGCTGTCTCCAGCAATGTTCCCCAACGCCCAGACAGCCTGAAAGGAAACAGCAACAGCTTCAGCATTCATTTTCTGAGAGGGAGAGACAGGCAGTGTGCTGAGAAAGCAAATTTCCTGCAGTTCCAGGCAACAATCTGTGCTCTGCAGCCAGCTGGGATCACTCCATTCAAACACTGCAGTTTGAATGTGTGGTTCTCCCCAAAATCCCAAAGTGAGGAGAGATCCTTACCTGCTCCTGAACATCCTCAAAGTCAGAGTTTAGGAGCTCTATAAAGATGGGAACTGCCCCAGCCTCGATGACTATTTTGGTTTGTTGGGAGGTCCCTGAGGCGATGTTTGTCAGGGCCCACGCAGCCTCAAACTGAAAGGAGGGATAAAAGGGAATAAAATCAGCCTGATCCAGCAAAAGAAAGGGATAAAATCAGCCTAATTCAGAAAAATAAAGGAGTAAAATCAGCCTGGACCAGCAAAATAAAGGAATAAAATCAACCTAATTCAGAAAAATAAAAGAATAAAATCAGCCCGGACCAGCAAAATAAAGGAATAAAATCAGCCTGGACCAGCAAAACAGCTCTCATTAAATTCTGTCTACAATTCCTACAATTCTGCTGCAAAGGTTTTGGGAGAGAAAGGAAGATAATGCCTGAGCACTCCAAGGATTTTATCTTCTTGAGCAATAAAAGAGCCACATTCTGGCTACAATTCCTACAATTCTGCTGCAAAGGTTTTGGGAGAGAAAGGAAGATAATGCCTGAGCACTCTTCTTGAGCAATAAAAGAGCCAGAGCTGTTCAAAGGATGAGCAAGAGATGTCACCACCACCTCATTTCTCTTCCACAACCACTTCCCAGCAAGAAACAGTGCAGGAACACCCAAAACAGAACATTTTCTATATTTCATCCAAATTTCCCAAAGATTCTGTGAGTTCAAGGGAAGTTGAGCAGAAATTCCCTGCTTTTGCTTCTCTTTTTTTTGGTTTAAAACCAGATTTCCATCCATTTCTCCTGGAAATGAAGCCCCTTTGGTCCATGGCCTGGGGCCAGAGGGCAGGGAGAAAGAGGAAAGCAGTCATCAGCTCGGATGAAATTCCATGTATGGGAGTCTCTTTAACCCCTCCACAGAAATCAGGACTGGAAGGAATCTCAGGAAGGCACCCAAGCCTTTCCTCTGCCCCAGGCAGGATCAGCACTGGCCAAACCCATTTCTAACATTTCTTGGCCTCTCTGCCTCCAGCAATGGAAGTTTTTCCTCACACACTTTCTTCCTGCAGCTGAATTAGGTGATTTTTGCCAGTATTTTTCCAAGAATTTAATTCAGAGCAATTGACAATTTAATTTTTTTTTTGCCTGAGCATTACAAACTAGTTTTGTCTTCTCCTATAGATCACATTTTTGGGGTTCAAAATATCATTTTCCCCTCACAGCACCTGTGGGTTCACAGGCTAAAGAGCTCCACACCCTGAAGAATAGATAACACGCTCTCCTTTACCTGTAATGTGCAATTTTCACTTCTTTTCAGGAATTCCACGAACCTCTCCACCACTCCCTGAGTGTTTATCACCTCATCTATTGGAGGATTTGGCTCTGAAACAGCAAGGCAGTGTCAGGGAGTGAACAGGCCTCATGCAGGGGAGTAACAAGGCTGAAGTTTTAATTAAATTATCTCAAATTGGGCTGAACTCATCAGGGCAGCTCGGCAGAATGATTTTCTGTACAAATCACACAACTGGCAGTGATCAGCAATACCAGAGATTATCACATTTCTCAATTATGGATATTTTTTTCCCCCAACCTGCAAAGCTTTTGTGCACAAACCTGTGTAAAAGGCAGGCTCTGTTGGATCCTGAGCAGGGATGAGTTATTTTTACCTTTGGAGAGTAATTTCCTGAATTTCTGAGTGGTTGCTAGCTGTAGGTCAGGGTCATCTGAGAAAAGCATCTCCACCATCTCTCCTGTGATCAATCCCTCCTGAAAAGAGGCAGAGAACAGAAATGCTTTCATTTCAGACTGAGATGATTCCAGGCATCACAGACAGCACATCCATCCTACAATCTGGGCTTAGCCAGAAATCCCAAAATTCAAACCTGGGGATCCCAGCACAGCAGAGATCCTCCAGTTCACATCTGCAGTGCTGGTGGGGGGAATGGGATGAAAGAGGAGGAGGGGATAAAATGGAATTAAAGGACACTGGAGGAGGATTTGGAACATGCTGCTGGGAATAACCCTTGATAAATCAGAGTGAGTAGCAGGATGGGGATTCCCTGGCATGGGATGAGCTTTTGCAGGGCTCGTGGCTCCATTGGTGTCCCTCTGGATCCCTCAGGAATAAATTTTCCCCTCAGGAATAAATTTTTCCCTCAGGAATAAATCTCCTCTTTGCATTTTAGCCAAAGGTTTGTGGCTGTTCCAGCTGCCTGCACCAACTTACACAAACATTCTTGAAAATCAGGGAATAAAACCATTGGATTTTGGCAGTTCCATGCAAGCACAGAATCCCAGGATGGTGTGGGTTGGAAGGAGCTTAAAGATCACCCAGTGCCAAGGGCAGGGACACCTTCCACTACCCCAGGGTGCTCCAACCCCCATCCAATCTGGGATAATTCCAAGGATGGGGCAGCCACAGCTTCTCTGGGAATCTCTTCAGGGCCTCACCACCCCCAAAGCATGAAATTAAATTAATTAAACCTGTCTGAAGTCACCTTACCCCACACGTTGTGGAAGTGACGTAGGAATCCACCAGGAGACTGTCAAACATGGAGTCATCTTCATTGATCAGCTCCACATTCCTTCTTTTGAAGAGCTGGTGGGGAGCAGAACACAGGGATTGTTATTAGAAAGCAACCATGAACAGGCTCCACAACTCGATATTCTTGTTCCTCAACCAAGATCCCTCCTGGACTGAAGGTAACCTGAATGAAAAGGGGTCATTAATAGCAGCTCTGCACTCCCAGGGTTAGTCTGGCACACAAGCTAAGGGCTAATTCTTGCTCTCAGATATGCAAATGCCCAAATTACTGAGCCACCAGGGAAGGCAAGTGCAGAATTTGACCAAAATCGGGAAAACTGGGCAAAAAAGTAGCTTGGATAAGGTGCTAATAAAGTAAATATTTAGTTCCAGACATAGCACTTGGGAATCACCTCGTGCTTCCAAAAAAGAAACACACCCAGGGTTAAGGCCATACTTTCACTTGCTCTTCCTGTTTCTCCAGGAAATAATCCCACTTACTAATTATATCTAAAAAAACCCAACACCACCTTTAAAATCAAGGATCTATGAACAACAAAAGGAAAAAAAACCAACACAACAAAAAACTCAAGTAGTAGCCCAGGAACAAAATGCTTGGGAAGCTCTCTATGTGAGCTGGGTCTAGAGAGAAAAAGAGAAAATAGCAAGAACTCAGAACAGAAAAAATGACTGCAAACAAACTTTAATGCACAGATCCTTGAAGAGTGCAGCAGTTAAGGCTGACACAGCCTGCTCCAGGTGAGTTACCTGCTGCAAGATCTCAGAACAGAAAAAATAAAGACTGCAAACAAATTTTAATGCACACATCCTGGAAGGCTGCAGACTCTGGGCTGTGTTGAGGCTGCTGAGGGGGGTGAGCTCAGTGGGTACCTGCTGCAAGATCTCAGTCAAAACAGGAAAAATGAAGACTGTAAACAACTTCAATGCCCAGATCCTCGAAGGCTGCAGACTCTGGGCTGACCCAGCCTGCTCAGAGTGGGGAGCTCAGATCTCAGTCAAAACAGGAAAAATGACTGCAAACAACCTTTAATGCCCAGATCCTCGAAGGCTGCAGCAGTGTGGGCTGAACCAGCCTGCTGAGGTGGGTGAGCTCAGTGAGTACCTGCTGCAAGATCTCAGTCAAAACAGGAAAAATGAAGACTGCAAACAAACTTTAATGCCCAGATCCTCGAAGGCTGCAGACTCTGGGCTGTGCTAGGGCTGACCCAGCCTGCTCAGAGGGGGGAGCTCAGTGAGTACCTGCTGCTCCCGTTTCTGTTTGCGCAGCTGGATCCCCTCCTCCTCTCTCCTCCTGCGCATCTCCTCGGGGTTTAGGGCTTTGTTCTTGTAGCTCTTCATTCGATAGTTTTCTGTGAAAACAGGAGGAATTCTGCCTCAGGGCTCCTGCCACTGCTCCTGTGTGCTCTTCCCACAAGGCAGGGGATACCCAGATGGAATTCCTTTATTTACTCCCTCGGTTTTCAGCAGGAATTCCTATTTCCCTGCTAGCAGCACAGCATTTTCCCCCAGGTATTTATTCCCAGAGAGCACAACCCCAGCAGAGTGAAGGAATGGAGTTTGTAACAACAACAGAGCAGAGCTGTAGGTGAGGGTGTTCAGGACCTGACCCACTTCTGACAAATGCAGCAATTCCACCCTCTTTCCTCCAGAATTTCCCTCCCAGTCTGTTTTTTCTCCCTCCCACTCAGGCCAGGGACATTCCAGTTTTTGGCACAGCTGAAGGCAGCCAGGGCCAAGCTGTAACTGAAGCAGGGAAGGGTGGCAACCCCTGACTGCCCCAGCTGGAACCCCCTGCTTTGAGCAGGGCAGGAACTCCCCAAACTCTCCCATTTCTGACATTATTTGCACATTTGTGCCTTTCTCAGCACAAACCTCAGAGGCTCAGCTAGCCCTGAACCAAGTTACTCCTTCAGAACTCATTTGAAAACAAACATTTTTGGTTTTTCCCAGCTGCCAGGAGGAAGTTTGCAGTTTTATCTCCTCGTTATTTCAAGCCTGAGGCACCCTCAGCCCCGTGGCTCACAGAAAGTTTCAGTCCCACTTATCAACAACCTCCAGCCACTCTGGAGCCCTTCCAAGATCAACTGGAGAAGTGTCAGACCCAAAAGCCCACAGCCAACCCAAGAAAAAACATCTACTAAATACAAATATCCAGCTTTTCATTACTAAGGAGAGAGAAAACAACAGGAAAAAAATATATTTTAACAGGAGAGGAAACAAAACACTTTCAGTTCTTTGATTTCCCAAAACCAGCTAAAAAGACACCAAAAAAGAGAGAAATCTACAGACTTTAGGGGTTTGTATCTGACCATACAAAAGCCAGGTGTCAATTTTCATTCAGAAAATGTATTTAAGCACCACTGTTATGTTTTTGTTTGTATTTCCACCCCATTGTGGCTCATGCAGCCACAGGGAAGAGTAAGAGCTGACAGCTTAGATCTCCAAACAAATTAAGAATTTTAATCCTCCTTTTGGAAAGCAAAGCCTCCAATTAAATGGTGGTTTTGAAGAAAAGGAGGAAGGAGAAGTGAGGATGCCCAGGATCACCAGGCAGGGCCATAAATAGCCAAGGGACACATGACAGCTCAGCTGCCTCCAAACTCAGCTGTGCCAGGACCAGCCACACTCAGGAGCACTCAGCACCTCGTCCTTTAAGGTTTTTTTTTTTTGTCCCAGAGCATCAAGAACTCTCATCCTGCAGGGAAACCCCAAAGAGAACTCGAACTCTTCAGGGCTGCTTGTCACGAAATTCCCTGCTTTTTCTCCCACAGTTTATTCCTGCAGATGATTTCCATTGGTTTTTTTTTTTTTTTTTCCTCAGCCCATCATCTCTGGCAGGGTTTTAATGGCAGGAGAATGCTGATTTGGGACATTCCAGCCCGTTTCCATGGCAACGGGTGGGAAAAATGCAGGATCAGGACCTCACAGGGAGCTCTGGACTGCAGCAGGACCAAACCCACGGAATGAAACACAGCAGGACAAACTCTGTTTGGAATGTTTCTGTACCAAGCATTTGTGTTACCTCTGAACTCCAATTCCATCTGTGGGAATATCCCCAAACCCAGTAATCAGGGTCTGGGAGCATCTGGGCTCTCAGGAATGGGGAAGGAATCCTCTGCTCCTAAGGAAGAGACTCCAGGCAGAGATTTTCACTTTGCTTTTACAGAAGTGCCAGTGGGCACTGAACTGAGAGATTTCACTCAAGAACAAATCTTGCAAGATTAATTCCATTTCAAAAGTTCTGATCCAGCTTGGACAAAACATCCTTCTGTGGAGCCCCACAGTTCCCCCAGTTGTGCCTTTTGTAGCTCCCTGGATTAATTAACTTCTTTCACAGCTCCAGCGTGGAGCCCCACAGTTCCCCCAGTTGTGCCTTTTGTAGCTCCCTGGATTAATTAATTTCTGGTACAGCTCCAGCAAAAAAAAAAAAAGAAATTTAAAAAAAACCAAAAAACAAAAAAACAAAAAACCAAAAAACAAAACAGTATTTGCATTTCAAACTTAAGGATGAAACTGAACTGAACACCTTCCCAACTTCCTGTGCAAAGGAAACCTCCTCAGGAGATGGAAGAAATTTGGCCCCTCTTGCCTTCACTGAGGGGGAAAAAAATCCTCCAGCTGTCAAAGAATTACAAGCCCAAGCTGCCACACTCATAAACTGGAGGATGAGAAGGTATTTCCCACTTAAAAGAAAGGAAAAACGGGGTGAAAGTTTGACTTTGAAGGCTCAGCAGGGCACTCAAATCCCTGTAAACGCAGCACAAGCTACAGCAGGAAACTGTAAAATCCAGAGTTGTTACTCCAACAGCTTCTGGATGCTCCTGGTGGGGAATCCAAGCCTGCCTCTTCCCGATTTTCTGCAAGATTTGCTTCCAACCTTTTCTTCAGCTGCTGCTGGAGCCCTGGGAGCTGAGTCACTGCAGAGTCAGGGCCAAGGCACTGCCAGACCTGACACGGCTCTTTCGGAGCCAAAACGTCCCTTCCCACAGGGAATATTCCACAGGGAATCTTCCAAAGGTGGCTCTGAACTCACAGCCCGGCCAGCAGGGCTGACAGCTGCTCCCTGCTCGGGGAATGATGCAAGTGGAAAGAAATAAATACACTGCAGGAACTTCAGCAGCGCTAATCTGCCAATTAGTGCCCGCTGGGGACATTCCCAGCTCTCAGGTGACCTCTAAAGGCCCTTTCCACCCAAGTTTTCCCTGGGATGGGATAAAGTTGGTGATTTGCAATTTAAACTCCTCTCAATTAGACAAATTGCAGCAAAATAAACGGAGTGAATTGCTGAGTTTCACTTCGTTCCTCATATATCTCCAATTCCCTGAAATCCCAGAGGATCCTCCCATCTCTTCCTACCATCACTAACATCTCCAGAGGACTCTTCTAGAAAAGAAAAATGTGTCCAGGACAACTTTATTAAGTGAATTGAAACCCTAGAAAAAGAAGACTAAATCATCTGTACTACTTAAATACAAATCAGATGAATAACTACATAAAAGTAGCTGAATTAATGTGTAAAAGAACAGCTCTGAGTTGCTAGCAGAAATCACCAAAACCACTTTTTTTTTTTAACTGTGACTGACAGTTTTTCAGTGAATTAATAGGAAAAAAAAAGGAAAAATTTCACTTTGTTTGCTCAGAAGACACAAGCAAATGAAGCTTGTGACACAAAAAAAAAAATCCTGTAAAATAATCCCAACTCTGGCTGTGCCTACAGCCCTGGAACTCCCCCAGCTGCAGTGAAACCCTGGGAAAGCAGCAGAATTCTGCTGTGCTGCCACTGGGGCAGCTCTGCTCGGTTCTCCCGGGGGTTATTGGGGTGTTTGGCAGCACCAAAGCCCCGCAGAGCTGTCCTGAGCAGGCTGGCCCTGTCCCTGCGGCTGTCCCCGGCTCGCTGTGCCGGTAAATCCCGGTAAATCCCGGTAAATCCCCGATCCCCGCGGCTCCCTGGCAGCCGGGGATGTGAAATCACCGCTGGAATGTGCAGCGCTGCCAGGGGGAAGGGACAGGCAAAAAGTTCTCTTTGGGGGAAATCCACCGGCAGGCAGCGTTTGCTGCTCTTGCCCAGGGTTAAAACAAGATTAGGAATCCTTCTGGAATGTCCCTGCCCCGCTGGAAAAAGAACCCAGCGCTCCTCAGCTCAGTTCTCAAAGCTTCCTACTCTGACTGGATATTTTCATCCCAAAATCGGATCTTTTCATCCCAATAAGTTCTCTTCCAGTTGGTTTATCCAGTCAGGTTTCCTTTAAAATGGACTGATCAAGCACAAGTGCCAGCTGAGAACAGTTCCTAAAACAGGGAAAAACTTCAACTGAACCCACTCCGAGTCGACCCAGGAGAGTTCCAGGTTAAAACCGAGCAGAAACACTCAGAGATAATCACAGGGGGATATAAAATTCCAATAAATCTGTGTGCTTTGCCTCAGAAACAAACAGGGCTGTGTGATTTGCTAAGCAGATTGACCTGCACCTCGCCAGGACTGAAAGCCTGAAGGAATCAGGACTTTCACTCTTGCAGGATTTTAATGATCAAACTCTCCCCCTTGACAAAGTTCATGTTTGCTCTGCTGAACTAAAGCAAACAAAGCAAAGCAGCCAATTAACTGTTAAATTCATCAGCCACGGGGGTTTTATTGAGAATTGAGCATTCACACTGCTCCGTGGGTTAAAGACATTTAAAGATGTCATTTGCAAGGCAAACGAGGAACGAACTGATGACAATTTCCAACAGCATCATTAACTTAAAATAATTTAAAAAACAACCTTAGCTTGTTTAAAAATAATAAAGTTACATGAGGATAATTCAAACAAGGGGGATATTCAACTCTTACAGGGGTGGGGAAGCTCCTGTGCACAAACTCCTCAGCTCCACACAAAACTGCCCCAAGAATTTCCAGACATTCCCACCAGGCCCCAGGACATTTTTCTCCTCAGAGCTGCCAGTCCAGCTTTTACATCTGAAGCCATAAATTAATTTTTCCAAGCTGTCCAGGGCTGGGAGGTGCAGCAGCCACACACAGACGTGGTCACTGACTTCTCCTGGAGCACCACAGGAGGGTTTGGAGGGGCAGAAAAGTTCCTGGTGAGATCCTGACATGCAAAATCATTTTTAAATTATAATTTGTAAAGGATCACAGAGCATTTTTGAAGATTCCCTGGTTTGGAAGGAGATAAAAACTCATCCAGTGCCACCCCTGCCATGGGCAGGGACATCTTGCACTGTCCCAGGCTGCTCCAAGCCCTGTCCAACCTGGCCTGGGATAATTCCAGCCACAGCTTCTCAGGGAAATCCATCCCAGCCCCTCACAGGGAAGAATTTCTTCCCAATATCCAACCTAAACTTGCCACTTGAAAGCCATTAAGCTTCTGAAGCAGCTCTGGTTAAAAGACAACATTGCATGTGGAAAATTGAAACATTTTAATCTTTATTTCCAGAAGATGCTCACTCAATTTTAAGGAAAACACGGCTGCTACAGGTTTGGCTTTTTCACCTCATCCTTCCAAACCAGACAGGAACCCTCAACAAAATATATTTTAAGGAAAACACGGCTGCTACAGGTTTGGCTTTTTCACCTCATCCTTCCAAAGCTTGCCTTCCTACAGGAACCCTCAATAAAATATAAATAAAAAAAATAAACCAAAATAAAATCCACCTTTCCTCCCCGAGGTGGGACCTCCCACATCAAACCAAAAAGCATTTTTTGAAGGAGAAACACCGAGCTGGGATTTATTTGCAGGGGACAGAGAGCTGCCTGCCACAGATGCCATCCCTTGCCAGGGGTGTCCTGCCACCCACGGTGACACAGGGACAGCCACGGTGACACTGAGGGCTCAGGCTGCATTTGAATAAAAATCCCAAGAGCCAGAGCCCCGCTGGGTTAGCAGCACCCAGGGGAGGTTTGGGGGGTTCTCAGGTGAACCCCGAGCTCTGGGGGAGGTCAGAACTGAACTGAATTTCAACAGAGCAGAGATCTGACAGCCAGGAGAGCCCCAAACACCCCAAAGGGACAGCAGGGACACCCCAAAACCGGACTCACAGCTCTCACCTCCAAACCCGGGCACTGCAGCCCTGGCACCCCCAAACCCGGGGTATTCCACCCTGGCACCCCCAAACTCGGGGTATTCCACCCTGGCACCCCCAAACTCGGGGTATCTCGCCCTGGCATCCCCAAAGCCAGGCTCTTGGAGCCCTGACATCTCCAAATCTGGGAACTATAGCCCTGAGACCCCCAAACCCGGAGTATTTCACCCTGGCACGCCCAAACCTGGGCTCTAGCAGCCCTGGCACCCCAAACGCAGCCTATCGCACCCAAACCCAGGCACTGCAGCTCTGACACCCCCAAACCCGGGGTACCTCACCCTGGCACCCCCAAACCCGGACTCTGCAGCCCTGGCACCCCACACCGGGGATATGTCACCCTGGCACCCCCAAACCCGGGGCATTTCACCCTTAACCCCCACACCCAGGTATTTCACCCTGGCCCCCCACACCGGGGGTACCTCACCCTTAACCCCCACACCGGGGGTACCTCACCCTGGCCCCCCACACCGGGGGTACCTCACCCTGGCCCCCCACACCGGGGGTACCTCACCCTGGCCCCCCACACCCGGGTACCCCACCCGGAGCTCCCCAAAGGGGGGTACCTCACCCTTAACCCCCACACCGGGGGTACCTCACCCTGGCCCCCCACACCGGGGGTACCTCACCCTTAACCCCCACACCGGGGGTACCTCACCCTGGCCCCCCCGCAGCTCCCGCCCCACCCGGAGCTCCCCAAAGGCGCTGCTGGCGCTGCCCGAAGCGGTCACAACTCCCAGGCCTCCCTCACCGAGAGCCCCCCAAGACCCTCAGCAGCGGCCCCGGGATGACTCAGCGGCCGCGCCGGCCCCGCCGCCCTCAGCCCCGGGAGCGCCCGGGACGCCGGTGAGAGGCGAGGGCGGCGGCAGCGCGGGGCGGACGGGCTGTGCGCGCTGCCCGGACTCGGGGCTGCTTCTCCGGCTCCACCCCACCCCCTCGGCCGTGCCCGGAGCTCCCCGGGCCGCGCCCGCCCCTCACGGCCCTCACCCATCGCGGCGGCTGCGGCGGCGGCTCCGGTGGTGGCGGCGGCGGCCAAAATATGGCGGCAGCGGGCGGGGCGCGGGCCGGACGGCGGCCGCGCGGGGACAAACTTGTGCGCGCGGAGGGCGGCAGGGCGCGGCAGCGGCGCTCGGGCGCCCCCAGCGAGCGGGGGAGGAACTGCAGGGGCGGCCGTGCGCTGTCGCTCGTGTGCTGTCACCTCTGTCCTGTCACCTCTGTCCTGTCACCTGGATTCTATCATTTGGGTTCTGTCATTCGGGTTCTGTCACTCGTGCCCTGTCACTCGTGTCATGTCACTTGGGCTCTGTCATTTGGATTGGGTCATTCGGGTTCGGTCACTAATGTCCTGTCACCTCTGTCCTGTCACTTGGGTTCTGTCATTCAGGTTCTGCCATTTGTGTCCTATCACTCGGGTTCTGCCACTCCTGTCCTCTCACTCGTGTCCTCACTGGTGTCCCATCACTCAGGTTCTGTTCCCTCTGTCCTGTCACTTGTGTCCCATCAGTTCTGTCCTGTCACTCGTGTCCCCTGTCCTGTCACTCGTGTCCCCTCCCTCGTGTCCCCTGTCCTGTCACTCCTGTCCCCTCCCTCATGTCCCCTGTCCTGTCACTCGTGTCCCCTCTGTCCTGTCACTCACGTCCCCTCCCTCGTGTCCCCTGTCCTGTCACTCCTGTCCCCTCCCTCATGTCCCCTGTCCTGTCACTCGTGTCCCCTCTGTCCTGTCACTCGTGTCCCCTCCCTCATGTCCCCTCTGTCCCCTCCCTCGTGTCCCCTCCCTTGTGTCATCCCCACCCTGGAGGCAATGAGAACACAGCAGAGACTCTGAGAACTCCTTTAATCGCTGTTAACTGCAAGTCTGTAAAAGGTTTGGAGAAAGTCACTGTTACAAAACTACCAGCTGTTAGAATTGTTCCTGGTTTGTCACCCCAGCTAGAAAAGGCTCAGGGAGATGCGGAATAGTTCAAGAACAGAGAATATTGCACAACCAACCCAACGGTTCATTCCACTAAAGGAGAAAAGAAAGTGACACAGATGCTGCACCCTCGAGCCTCTCTGTGGGCTCACACCAGCCCCAGGTCCCCACTGGTGTCCCCTGTGTCCCCTGCCCACCACAATCCCAGCCAGGACAAGCTGAGGCTCTGCTGGACAGGGATGCTCCCACCAGGAGTCACCCTAAAGAAGGAAAACCCAACCCCAAAACCCCAACTCTTCCAAGTGCACCTCGTTTACTGCTGTCCAAACCCAGCAGGAAACCCTCGGCCCTGGAAGGGGCAGGACAAAGGCAGAAAGTGTCACCCCAGCACCCCAAAGAGAGCAGTGAGGGCACTGTCCCCTTGGGATAACTGTGCATGAGCAACGTCTCGTGTTGTGATAAGGAAAATGCCCCAAAAAGAGGCCGTGGGGCTGAAGGAAGTGAAGCAAGCAGTCACAGGGGCTGAAGTGAAGGAACCCAAGTGAGCACAGCAAAGCTCGTGGTGGCTGCAGGGCCTGGCACAGGTGGGACAGGGCTCAGATGGGGGCACACAGCCGCAGCCAGCAGGGACCCCCACATTTGGGAGCCCCTCTGTCCCCAGGCTGGCCAAGCTGAGCTTGAAGTGGTCAGTGGGTCAGGCTGGGCCTTTGCAAGGGCTGAACTGGCCACCAGCACAGAGGTTCTGTTCCCAAATCACTGCCAGCCCAGCAGGGCTGGAGTAAGAGCAAGCCACGAGGATTTTGCTTGGAGAATTTAACTAGAAAGACACAAAACCCAGTGCAGGAAGGTGGTGCAGCTGCAAAGGGGATGGAGCAGCAAGCCTTGGCTCTTCGAGGAACTGCTGGAAACGGGAGTTTCCATGAGAAAAAGCTTCCAGGACAAAAAGCCAGGCAGAAGCTCAGGGTTTGGCAGGGGGTTTGGCTCCTTCCAGGGTCAAAGCCACGAGCCAAGTGCCTTTTTTGTGCAGCACCTCCAGCCCTCAGGCCCTCCCCGGGTGGGAACTGCGGAGCAGCGAGCGGAGCAGGCACAGCCACGTCCAGGAGCCTCTCAGCTGTAGGTCACACGTGCACACACAAGCAAGGAAGGAGCCAGCTGGCAGCCTGGCAGCACCCAGCACACCTGGCAGGGCTCTGAGTGCCCAGCTGGCCCCAGGGACCCCTCGCTCTGCCTCCTCCCAACAAGTCAGGATCAGTTTTGGCTTGGCCAGTCTCTAGGACCTATGGAGAAGTCAGGCTCCTGTGTGCCAGCGACCTCCTGCTTCCTCCTCCTGGATCTGAAGGGGTCACTTGAGCTGCCCCCAGGTTTTAGGAGGAATGGAGCTCCTCCAGCCTGGAAGTGCAACCCCCAGCACAGTCACACACAAAGGAACAGCCGGTCCGAGATTGAATTCACATTCGGTGGTGGAAGTGAGCCTGTGACACACACTGGAAGCAGCTGCTTTATTCCCAGTCTTCCCACTCTTCATCTTCCAGCTGCAAACAAGAGGAAATCCGTTTCTGGACTTTTTCTGAGCTGGTTTCTACTGTTTCTGTAACTCAACAGCTCCTCCTGCCCAGGGCACCTGATGTATCCTCACACTCCCACACTTTCCCAACAGGGATTTGCCTGCTCTGCTCCCCTGGGGAAACCTGCACACTCATCCCAGCAGCCCTTCAGCACCACCTTGAGGGGTCAGTGATGCTTTTGGGGGGCAGTTTTGCCTGCCCTGACTCACCTCCCCAGACATTTCCACCTTGGAGAGTGCCAGCTGCACCTCCTCTTCCGTCATGTCCAGATCAAAGTCCTTTTCCCAGTCCTCGCTGATATCCGTGCTGGAGCCTGGAAGCACAAATGTCCCCACTGAGCCACCAGAGCTGGCCCCAAAGCCCTGGAATTGCCAGGGCTCAGAGCTGCTGAGGAGGGAAAGCCTCCACACTGCCAGGAACAGAGAGGGGATGGGCTGAGCTTGCTTCCCTCACAGCCAGGGCTGGTGCAGAAGCAGTGGGAGAGGTGGATGCTGGAAGATTTTCTCCTCTGGCCTGGGAGAACTGGGATGTGTCAGGTTCCAGAAAATGCAGGAGATAAGGAATGACAATAGGGACTTAGATATGGGGACTGTCATTGTCCCAGCAGGGACACTCCTAGGGAATCACCACATCCCCTCCACAGAGCACAGAGCCTTTCCTGGCATCCAGGGATCTGCTCAGCCAGCAGATCTTTGATTTCTTTCCCTTTAATCTCCCCCACCACCACAAACCCAGAGCCTTTCCCCAGGAGCTGCCCCTCCCAGAGGGTTCCCAGCCCCACACAAACCTTTCTTGCCGTTGTTGGAGGGGGTGGATTTGCCACTATCCGAGTTGAGCTCGAAGACTCTCAGGTCTGTGGGCCCTTCCTCTCTCAGAGTCTCTGTCCTGGCCTGGCCTTTGCTCTCCAGCTCTCTGAGCTCTGTTCCAGCTGCCAGCTCTGAGGATGCTGCTGATTGCTGGGCAGGTGCAGAAGGCTGAGCAGCTTCTGGGGGCTTTGGCAGGGAGCTCTGCTCTTCCAAGGTGGCCTCCACCAGCCTCTGGGAGAGGCGGCCAGCGCCCGGGGGTGGAGCTGCAGTCTGTGGCTGGGTGGCAGGCACAGGGGCAGGGTTTGCAATCTGAGTCACAAGGGACACGCTCTCGCTGCTCTCTGAGGGGCTCTGCTCCACTGGCACCAGCTCTGGGGGCAGCACAGCCCAGCTCTCCCCAGAGGGAAGCTCGGGGGCAGCAGGGTGGTTTCCCTCTGAGGTGGGTTCTTTCTGTGCTGCTCCTGGAAATGTGATGTTTGCACAAGGCAGGGGGGACATGCCCAAGAACTCCTCTGTAGGGAGGCAGAAGAGAAGTGAGAGATGTTTCAGCAGGTGGAGCAGCAGCTGGGCTGGGAGCTGGATTCCACAGAGTCACACAATGTCTTGAGCTGGGAGGGACCCACAGGGATCATCCAGTCCAACCCCTGGCCCTGCACAGACACCCCAAAAATCCCACCCTGGGCACCCCCTGAGAGCCTTCTCCTGGAGCTCTGCCAGCTTTGGGGCTGTGCCCACTCCCTGGGGAGCCTGGGCAGTGCCCAGCACCCTCAGGGGGGAGAACATTTCCTGACATCCAACCTCAACCACCCTGACACAGCTCCAGGCATTCCCTCAGACCCCATCACTGGCACAGAGCAGAGATCAGAGCTGCCCCTCCTTTGCCCACTGTGATTTGTGGGAGTGAGGAGGAGCCACCACCCCATGAGAAATTCACCACAAAGCCCCAAAACCTGTCCCACCTTCATCCTCCTCCCAGCCTGGCTCCTCTTGGTGCATGCTCTGCTCTGCTCGCTGCTTCAGAGCCTCCCTCCGGGCTTCATCCTGCAGGAATTCAACACCAGCAGCTGCTCACATCCCCAGTCCCTTTCTTCCCCCAGGCATCTCAGCATCACTGACTCCAAGGGTCAGCCCAGATCCCTGTTTTCCCAGGGAAAGCCCCCCAGGGAGCCCCCAGCCTGACCCACCTGCTCCAGGCAATGCAGTTTGTAGAAGTAGCGCTGCCAGAATTCCAAGTGGGAAACAGCCACAGGCACCTGGGAGAAAGGGATGAGCCCCTCAGAGGCAGAGCTGCAGCTGCTGCTGTGCCCCTCTCTCCTCCCAAAGCTTGCAGCTCCCATTTTATTACAAGCATTTTTAATATTATTTTCCCATTGCAAACTGTTTTTCCACTGTTCCCATTCCAGCTGCAGGGGACAAACAGCTCGGGGCCCTCCTGCAGCATTCCCCACGTCAGGAAGTGCCCAGGCAGGCAGGGCTCACCATTTTGGTGTAGAGTGCCCTGATGGAAGGGCTGGTGGCCAGCAGCTCTGCAATCTCCCCTTTCTTCTCCTCCAGGCTGAACTGAGCCAGCCAGGCCTCGAGCAGCTCAGCAGGGCCTGTTTGGGACAAGCACAGGGATAACAACCCTCGAGTTTGGGGAGGTTTCACTGCAGAGATGCTGGGGCAAAGGAGGAGCGAGGCACAGGGCTCAGAACTCCTCTGCCAGCTCAAGGCCACATGGCACCAACTTAAATTGTGCTAGTAAATTCAGCACAAGCTG